CACAATACTAAACTATTTCATCCCTATCATTCGCCTCCTCTTCATCGTCAATCTTCTCGGCATCATATGCTTTGAATGGAAATTCGTAATACAGGGATGACGAGGAGTCAATACTCGCGGCCTGAAGAGCCTTAAGCCATCCGTGTTTGAAACTGTAGTTCTCGCAGCGACAAACATCATTGGCCAGCTTTTCCTTGGTTTTCTCGATACCCGACTTTTCGACCATCAAAGAAGCCTTCCTCATACGCGCGGGATCGTATGGCCTCTTTGGCAAATACGGCGGCCGTGTCCCAATCGGCTTTAGCATGGTCTATCAGCCGCTGGTTTACTCTATCGCTAATAGCCATATTCGCCAACCTTATGGGCATCTTCTCCGCAGCCCTGGCTTTGCGTATTTCGCTCTCCGCCTTCTCGGCGCGACATTCCAAATCTCGAATCCGCCCATCTTTTTGAACAATTTCTTTTTGAGCGGCCTGCAGTTGCATGACGGTCTCGTATGCTCAATAGAGTCCCTTGATCGACCCATGGACTCCGTCTCTAAACACCTCATAGTCACTCCGCCCGATCATAGATTGCTGTACCTCAGGCGGAAATATTTGATGAGTAAAGTCCACCGCCACATTGGGATCGTAAATGATCAAGTTTGCTTCAGTCATGGGCTTATTGCCAATAAACAAAGCGAAACTAAGAGGACGTGGCGATCTGCTCGGCTCCTGTCGAACGGACGCCCGTGCACCTGCCACCCTGTCGTTGCCTTTTTGTTGTGACCCGCCTCTGGGCGATTTCTTCACTTCGCTCCTCCTTGGAGACTTGCTTCGTCGATGAGGTGAATGTCGTCTTCCTCATTCCTCCGACGCCACAGTATTCGCACGGGAAGCTGTTCCACGATCCATTTCCTTTCCAACTCTGCTAAACTTTTTCCCTCACCTTTACTGTTGAAAAATAATCTGCCAGACATACGCTCACACTTAGTAATTGCGCAGATGCTTTCGCCTCTTCCCCTTGACTCGCTGCGGCTGGATATCCCTTTTGTGGGTTGCTCAAGGGCTATTTAATGACGCCCGCTTCATTTATTACGTGCACTACTAACGATGCGCTCGCAGTCGCTGCCGTCGCCGCTGATAATTGGCCAAATTAAGTGCAAATAATCTCATCTGGCCGAATTATTCTGCTGCCCCACTTGATCATGAAGGCCATGTTATGTAGTCGGCGTAAATCTCATGCTCAATTGGGGTAAGGGCAGATTTTTCATCTGCTCGGCTCATCCATTTCTGGCCGAATTATTCTGCTGCCCCACTTGATCATAGAGGCCATGTTATGTAGTCGGCGTAAATCTCATGCTCAATTAGGACAATGGCAGATATTTCATCTACCCGGCTCATCCATATCTGGCCGAATTATTTTGCTGCCCCACTTGATCATGGAGACCATGTTATGTAATCGGCAAAAATCTCATGCTCAATTGGGGCAAGGGAAGATATTTCATCTACTCGGCTCATCCATATCTGGCCGAATTATTCTGCTGCCCCACTTGATCATGGAGGCTATGTTATGTAGTCGGTGGAAATCTCATGCTCAAATGAGGCAAGGGCAAATATTTCATCTACTCAGCTCATCTATATCTGGCCGAATTATTCTGCTACCCCACTTGATCATGGAGGCCATGTTTATGTAATCGGCGTAAATCTCATGCTCAATTGGGGCAAGGGCAGATATCTCATCTACTCGGCTCATCCGTATCTGGCCGAATTATTCTGCTGCCCACTTGACCATTCGCCGCAGTTCATTTTTTGCTTTAAGCATTACAATAAGTTCATTACAATAATTTCAAACACAAATCATTACTATGATTTCATTTGTATACACACATCACTTCTCAAAACTGGTATTTTTCATTCATAAACTCTATACGAACAAAGTATTATTTTATCAATGAAAACCGTCCTAAATATAAAATATTACTAATGCTATATTAACAACTACAAATAAACAGCAAAAATAAGCAAACTATTGTCAAACACCTTCAAAATCCTCTTGGTCCGATTCTAGAGGTTCAACCTCCGGCTGCTCATACGGAATCGGCAGATCAAGAGTCACTTTGGCAGCCGCCAAAGCTTTAAGCCAACCATGCTTGAAGCCTCGGTATTCGAACTTCAATGCTTCATTGGCATATAATCTTTTGGCTTGAAGTTTGCCGGCATCAAACGCCTTGGCTGCATCCGCTTCCGCTCGCTCTTGGGCCTTCTTTGTCTCCTCTAACTCGGCCATTAATTTCACATTCTCCGCCTTAGCTAACTTTAACTCACCGTCCATACTGGTAGCCCTTTCCTTGGCGCACCTGGCTTTCTCTTTTTCGGCAACAGCCTTCGCCCGCTCATCTTTTGCCTTCGTAGCTTCGGCCTTCGCCTTATCTGTCACCGTTTTCAAATCAGCCATCGCAATCGCAGCCTTATTTCTTTCATCTTCAAGTTGGACTTCGACCACGCCGAGTCTCTCTACGGCATCATAGTGATGACGGCCGATCTCCGTTATCCTGCCCGCCGCCTAAACAAGTAAAACAACAACCACATTAGTAAACATAAAAACGGCAGAACAGATTAACTCAAGTGCTTACCAGTATAGCCGACTACGCCACCAAAGCAATAGAGACGACGTTCGGCTCGGCACGGAACACGGCTTTCTCCGACAGAAGTGAAAACGCCGATGCTACACTCAGAGCCACAACGGGATCTTTAATGGCCGACCCGTTGGACAGAACCGGCGCATTTTTCATCCTTGGCTGGATGACGAACGGCTCGGCCGAATCCGGAGAAAACGCCTCCAGCCTTTGCCGTTTGTCAACCGATTCTTCTGGCGATTTGGCAATCAATTCAGCAGGGCGCTTTTCGCCCCTTTGATCGATTTGATTAGAGCCCGAGGTCTCCATTGGCTGACGATCAGGGACTTCGTCAGCCACGATTAATTCTTGAGTTGTAACAACGGGAGCCAGAGAGGGAGTTTCTAAGCTCCCTCCATTACCACTGGCTCTCCTCCGTGCCGTCATCTTTTCGGCATTTCTTCTCCTGGCGAACTAGGCAAGCGACTCTCCGCCTATTTCTTCAAAGTCGGCTCCAGGCAAATCTCCTAATTCGGAAAAAATGTCCTCTGGAGAAATAATCTCCACTCGGCCTGAAGTAGAGGGTTGGCCGCTGCTCCCTTGGTTGAGTTGCTCAAAGGCCAACTCAACTTCTCTATTCAGCTCTTGTTCTTCCAAACGGATCCCCTGTCTAGCATCTTCCGCGTCTGAAAACGACCCTCCGGTCTAGCCTCGTCGGCGTCCGAACCCTCAAGACCGATGTCCCTTAAGCTCTTAAAATTGGGGCTTATGAGTGTTGTGAGATGCTGCTCTTCTCTCGGCACGGGGATATGAGCTGTCACCAAAAAGGTTGCGTAGGTTGGGTTGTATCTTAACAGAATATGCGCCGCGCGTCCTTGGGTTGAGAAGGAATGAAACCCCAGTAGCGCAGAACAATCCTAAGGAAGGGGTGTAAGGGGAAACGAACCCCACCCTCAGCAATTGACAAGAGAAGGAAGATTATGGTGTTTGCATCAACCCTTTCCATGTCAACCACACTGTCTGCTACAAGGGACAGGTGGATGTCGTCGAGGATCGAAAAGTGACGACGGAAGGCGGCGACTCACTCCTCAGAAAGGAGAGCTTTCAAATGAGTCGCCATTCCAGACGGGATAGAAGATAAATAAAAATGCACAAAGGGATTGGAATATGAACAAAAGATGAAGAGGGGGAAAGACTTACAGACCAGAACGAGGAAGCAAAGTGAAAGAGTGATATGAAGCAAAGTCAGAAACACAGGAGTCTTGTGAGGGAGGAAGAACGGTATGAAGAATGCGAAGGAGCCAAAATTCAATACGTACGATTTTTTTAAAAACGCATTAAATGAACGTCAAATTATGAAGGGACGGGAAGTAATGATGACCCCAAATTGCGCCTAATCTGACGCATCAATACCAAAAGGCGCGCAGGCGCCGTATTTCCAACTTCCAAGATTTTTAGTCGAAATATTCAAGAAAATTGACCACGCCAAATAACGGATGTTAATCGGATGTTCGGAGGGCAATTGTGGTAGCCGAATAAATGAAATTGAGTCCCGGACTAGCATAGTACGAGTCGGCAGAACACGTCATATCCGTGGTCACAGACAAGTTGGCCATATCAGGTCCAGTGGGCCAAAGCCGAATAAAACTAGGCTTAAAGGGCCGTCTAAGTCAATTATCCCATGGGCTATATAGAGGGTCCATGAATGGGGTCAAAGCCCAATAGGGAGCAATGGGCCCTTGGAGGGTCACTAGGGAAACAATATAAAAGAAAGGAGAGGACAGAGGTGGGGGATATTTTTTTTTTCTGTTCTTGGACAATAGAGTATTCCTAAACCCATCACACTACACAATCTATCTATAATAGGTAACTCTCTAATAGTTTTATAAAATCCAACCGCAAATCCCTTGATTTGAAATCCACATCTATCCAAACGCAGCCCTAATGAATATACATCTGCATATTGTTGTTTTAGTTGAATGATTAGGCAAGAGGTGTAATGTATATGGATAAGCAATAAATGTAGTACATTACTTATGGTTTCTTGATTTCTAAGTCCAGTTTCAACCTTTATAACTCAAACATAATCATAACATGAGATACACATCTCAACTCAACAAGCTATGTTGCAGCAAACAAGTCCTAATACCCTTTGCATAAGTAAACCAAGTTTTCATAAAATTAGAGCCACTAATCCTAATTGAAAATCTCATTTCAGGATTGACATTCTGTAGATTTTCAGGTAATGTTAAATAACGTTGGGGAGAGACTTGAGATTTTTTATTTGTAAATTTGATGCCTTTTGCAACCCTTGAAATGTCAGTATCTGTATAACATTGTACTGTTTTCTTTCACACAATCTATTGCATCATCTAATGCTTAATTGTCTTTACTGGTAATTCAGGTGGCAGTTTCAAGAGGTTTGAATGGAATAGGACTTGCCATAGTCACACCAGCCATTCTGTCGCTAGTTGCAGACTCAACTGATGAGACCAACCGTGGTATGGCTTTTGGATGGCTACAATTAGCAGGAAACTTTGGCTCAATCATTGGTGGGCTTTGTTCAGTGCTGATAGCCTCAACATCATTCATGGGTATCGCTGGTTGGAGAATAGCCTTCCATCTGGTTGGGCTAATTAGTGTTATAGTTGGTGTTTTGGTTCGCCTCTTTGCCAATGATCCCCGCTTTTCTGACGGTAATGCTAAAGCTCAAATTCCAAATAAACCCTTTTGGTCAGAAATGAAAGACCTGGTTAAAGAAGCAAAATCAGTAATGAAAATATCATCTTTCCAAATAATTGTGGCCCAAGGTGTTGCCGGATCCTTTCCTTGGTCAGCTTTGTCATTTGCCCCTATGTGGTTAGAGCTTATTGGTTTCTCCCACAAGACAGTGGCAATACTCTGGACCCTTTTTGTTATGGCTGGATCACTCGGTGGTCTATTTGGAGGAAAGATGGGGGATATCCTTGGCCAACGCTTTCCAAATTCTGGGAGAATAATTCTGTCGCAGATTAGCTCTGTTTCAGCTATCCCTTTAGCTGCAATACTGCTGCTAGTATTGCCTGATGATCCTTCTACAGCATTCATGCATGGTTTGATCATGTTCATCATGGGGTTATGCATATCCTGGAATGGACCAGCTACAAACAGGTACATATCTTCAAAGTTGAATATATATTTTTCCTCATATTTGTGGTCTAACAGAAGTGCAGATGTGAGCTTTGTTAAAGGTCTAGTATTTCACAATGACACTTGATTAGCATGGATGAACATTTTTACCTTGCACCTCAAGGGAACTTTGAATAGACTGAAATTTGTTAATGTGGATTTATTTTTTATTTGTTATTTATTTTTGAAAGAATGAATATGATACATTCACTAAATGATTCCAATTGTTTCCCTCACCTCCCCCCCCCCCCCCCTTCACTTCTCTTCAAGATTTGTTGGAGAAGTAGATATACAAATGCCAACTTAAGGAAATACTCTATGGTCTTATTTATTTGCACTTTGCACCAAGTGGAAATTATAATCTCCAACATCACCAACTTTGCATGTAGTTCATATAAGCACTAATGGGAGAGAGAATCAAGGCCCTTTCTTGAACAATCTTCAGCGTTTTGGAGTTTAAAAAGTCTCCTATTTTACATATGTTGTTTGGGTAACTGTAGTTTTGTTGACTATGGTTTAAATTCCATGGTAGCAATTTGTAGGTACATGTTCAGCTCCAGCATGTGGCATTACCATGTCATCTACAAGCTAGATTCTCCAAGGAATCTAGTGTCATGTGTCAGCCTCACGGGGTGACATGTGGGCATAGGGGTGAGATATACACTCAATGCCCTAGCCTCTAGCCTAGCCACTTAAGAGCAAGCCCCAAGGCCATTTTTGAAGCACCCCCTCAGTTGGGCTGAGGATCCTTCACTATAATGTGCTACCCCCTCCGATTGTGATCAGTATATTCAGTATTCCCTTTGGCTCGACCAAGCTATTCTATTTGAGTACGCTTTCTCTTATAATTGAGCTTTGCAATATAAGGGTGCACTCGTACTTTGGCTGATCACTTCCCTCCATGGCATCCATTGTCTGCCTAGCTTGCCTAGAGTCTCTGTTGAGTGGTACCCCAAATGTTCAGCACACTTGGTCCCCGTAAGAGCATCCTAGCATTACCATGATCACCTAGGCTAGGATCTGGGCCAAGAAACCCCAATGGAGATCGCTAGAGGCTTATGGCTATAGGGCCAGAGTTAAGGGTTCGTCGAGGTGCCTCATCACCCCCTTCCTTCAGGGAGCTACACCTTGACTTGTCTTAGAGAGAAGTTTTGATCAACAGACGAGTCTCCATAGAATGTATCATACCTATCACTGCAGTGTTGTAGTGCACAGGGCCAACCCAATAGTAAAGCCATTATGGCCATTGCCAAAGCCCCCAATTGAAGGAGGCCCTATATATAGACAGGTTGGGAACAACAGAAATTTTTAACCACCGTTGCTACTGTGGGTTTCAAACTTATGACTAGAAAAATTAAATAAAGGCACACTAACCACCAGGCCATAGCTTCACATGGGATGTTGTAAGATATTTTTTACTTATGTAAATACTCTTGAACATGTAACTTAAAAATAAGGGCCCTATATAACGGACCTCCATGCACACATTATGTAAATATTCCTGTCCATGGCTGAGTTGTCTCCATGGTTTAGTTTACCTATATAAGGGACCTCCATGCACACGTTGAAGGATCTTCAACTATCCTTTGTCTCACCTCCACCCCCCGGGCTCTAGCCTGTGCTGTCTCAGTGCCTACCATCTTACTAAAAGGCTACCTCCATACTATCTTATCCCTATCCCTCCATCCACAAAATCTAATGTGCTACTATTTGGAAATATTTTTGTTTGGGTTCAAGTTAAAGTTGTCGTGTCATAGTTTTTCTTACTTTCTAAGGGATTGAATTTGAAACATAGTAGCATTTTTTCGAATAAACATGAATGTAGTTACTTGTTATGAAAAACATTTTTTCTTGATAGATACTTTGCTTGAGCTGATATTCACATACTGTAGATGGTTGTTGCTATTAAGGGCACTGAAGCTAGAGATCCTTGTGAAACGGTTCGGCCAATAGGCCCAAGCTGGAATCATTTTGGGCCAAAAGGACACTTGTTCAAAGTTTAGCTATCTATCTATCTGTTTGAATATCGCCTATCTATTCAAATATCAGATATTTGTACACGTGTCACTTATCAATCCAACTATCTATTCAAATGTCCACTTATTTGTACACGTGTTACCTATTTGTCCAACTATCTGTTCAAATCTGTACACATTTCACCTATCTGTTCAATGTCACCTATCTATCCATCTCATTGCCACTAGCTACTGTCGCCGGCGACTTTCCAGCTGCTTTTAATGTGTGTCCTTATCAACCAAAAAAAAAAAAAAATTAAACATTGGAGTAAATAATATATGGCTCCATAGGAATGGATTTTTCATCAATTAATCCTATTTTAAATTGCTATTCTGATTATTTTGTTCACATTTATCCAATGCACTTTTCCAAAAATGTACTTATTAAGTGGTGAGGAAACTATAAAAACAAGATCAATAAAAAAGTGAGGATGGACAAGAAGAGTCATCCAGTTATAACTTCAAACTACTCTAAAAGATGAAATTCGTGATTTCAGTCCTTGCAAGTTGCAAGTGTGTGATAACAGCATGAATCAAAGTTAAAGTGCAATATGGTATATTCTGGAGTTAACATGACCAATCTAGTATTCAGTTGGCATGAAACAGTGATATTACAAAAATTAATACATTTATTTAACTCAGGATTGTTGACATATATGCAGTCCAATATTTGCAGAGATAGTTCCTGAGAGATCTCGAACAACCATCTATGCTTTGGATCGATCTTTTGAGTCTATACTATCTTCATTTGCTCCCCCTGTAGTTGGGATTCTGGCTCAGCATGTTTTCGGTTATAAACCAATTCAAAAAGGCTCAACAGACTCGGAAGAAATTGAAACAGATAGAGAGAATGCCGCACCACTTGCCAAGGCACTTTACTCAGCAATTGGTATTCCATTTGTGATATGTTGCCTCTTCTACTCTTTCCTCTACTATACTTATCCAAGAGACAGAGAGCGGGCAAGAATGCATGCTTTAATAGAGTCAGAGATGCAACCAATAGAGAATCCTCCTTCTGAACAAGAATACTCTCAACTTCATGTTTCGGGATTAGATGAGCTACAAAGAAAGGAAAGAAGTGTGATTCAAATGTATTATGAAGGAGAGGAAAGCCTTAATGTTGACGAGAATGATGAGAAGAGATTGCTTTCCTGTGAGCTGCCACTGTCAGATAATGGCAAATCATAGAAGCTGGTTCACACAAGCTGGACAACCACTTACCATGTGTAATCAAGAATAGCGTTAACCAACATGATTTTCCCAAATTCGGTATGTGCTTACAAGAGCCCCTTCTAAGTTTATAATCAAAGTTTGTTTGTGTGTTGTTGCCTTCTATTTACTCACATTCTACCTTAGAAGTAAGTTGGTATGACATATAAAAAAAAAAAACTAAAAACTAATCTAAACCTCAATGAATGTACAAGTTGTACACCATGGTCCATTTGTGTTATTATTACTTTAATCTTGTGATAAATGGATGACAAAAAGTTGCTCAGCTTACTGTGAATTTCAGAACATCCTATGACATAAATCATATAGAGTTTTATTAATTATTAACTAAAATACTGAAGGAAGGTTCATATTTCTATCCAAATCAAAATTTGGATGGGATGTTCAAAATAGTTTGTTTAACAGACTGATGAGAAACATTATTCTCTCTGAATGGCCGAAACATATAAACATTACCTAACAATACATTCATAACTTGATCTGCTCAAACATTGTAAATGTCCAAGAACCTATTGTAATGTTAATTTATTCTAGTTCTGGTTGCTTATCCAGAGATGGAATAAACACTTCTTAACATTACCCATCTGCCGAAGCATAACTTATTTCATCAACCTTGGGTTCCTCCTTATCTGCTGTAGTTTTGACTAATTAATTTACCTACCTTGATCTAGTCATATATGATTTCAATACGTCTAAAAAACCATATGCTTTTACTGTTTTGCAGGAAAAATTGTCGACGGCTGTATTTCATAAAGATCATATTTAGATATATTTGTTTACAAAATCATTTTATAGTGTTGTATTCAAGTTTTTGGATAAGCCCATTTTGTTTGTGTAGTAATTAAGTTGTGTCTGTCAATTGAAAGCTTGAAGGATATTTGGTAGGATTTCATGGTCATTTGTTTGCAATTCTTTAATGTTGCTCCAATTTAATATTCTTACATTATAGAGCATGATTTGAGTCTTTAAATCCATGTAAAATTAGATTGTAGTAACTCTATTCTGTGAAATGCCCGAGCCAAGCTCCAATGATGATATTTAACATCAAATTGCCAAATCAGTTTTGAATGTAATCTGATGCACTATGCATTGCAAATTATTAACCATAAGCATTGAAAACTCTGTTTGCTGAACTATGTAGTAATTAGTATTAAGGACTAGTTTGGCATGTACTAAATAAGCTAAAAAGTCAAAAAGTCACTATCTTATTTAAGTCACATCATCTTATTTAAATCACATCACCTCTCTAACACATAACATCAAACCCAACCCAAACCCACCAATAAGTCAAAAAGTGCACTTTTTTAGGACATCCCAAACCAACCCTAAATGTGATATGTGATGTAACAATCACAGAACTTATAAGTACTTTTTTAAACAGTCGACATCTGATTTTTCCTTTTTCATGGTTTTAACCAACATAAGTTCCTAATTCTAATCCTAGATGTTCTGGACTACTTGCATTCCTGAAACAATTGCATCTTTTGTTTCAATTACTGCCATAAAATCCATGCTAATTTAAGTTCTGACGTTATTGACTCTGAGTCAATTCTAAATTAGACATCATAAAGTAAATCGCGCAATTTTTTGTTTTTGCTTGTGTTCTTTTTTTGTTTTTGTCGAAAGCTGCTCATGTTGATATATATCCACTTTCTTTCTTGATAGGTAATGGAAGAGGAACCTCGGCTTCTGCGTTACCACAACACCCAAAGCACCAGTTCATTTGATTTTTCATACTTGCTTCTCTATCTCTTTTACATATTTTCATGCCCAGAGGGATTGATTGGTTTTACTTCTATAATGATCTTGTACAAACTTGTACATAACACACAAAGGTATAATCAAATTACATTTTTATAGAATAGCTTAGAATTAGCTGCAATTTGTGAATGTGAGACTGGGTTATGGGTGTATGGAGTTAATCGAGTTTTTTTTTTTTTTGGATTCAAAAGAAAGATAGTTAATCAAGTATGGAACACTGATTCTTGTTCCTTTTCCCACATTTGGTACATCAAATGAGGGTTAGAAAGATGGTTTTATTAGAATGCTTGTTCCAACATTTGGTTAGAATGGTAATTCCATTCCCTTGTGAAATGAACTGACTGATGATACAGAAAATGTATTATATTTATATGTAACTTATTTACAAATTTAGGAGTTTTTTCAATTTATTTTTCAAATTATGTTAAACGTGATTATTAATGTTTTCTTAAAAAATATTTAGTTACCACGCTTTATTATTTTCTGTTTTATTAGAACTTTGATGAAAACGTCATTGTTAACGCTTTGAATAACCACACTTGGCGGCTGCTTGGGCCCTTAAATTTTGTCCAAAAAAGGGGCCCTTGTTAAATAACCATGATATATATATATATACTAATAAAAAATTCATATTAATTTCCCTTTTATCTCTTCAACTGTTATCAAATTTTATTTCATGGGAAATGCTAGATTGGTATCTTTTTTGACTTTTTACGAAAAAAACGATAAATATGGATTAGGTTTAAAGTAATGTGATAGAGAGATGATATAATTTAAATAAGATAATTATGACCTAAATAGGATAATGTGCTGAAGTAACATGTACTATTTTAGCACATGTCAAACAACCACTTAATCCATATACTTTTAAATATTAATTTATAGACTAACATTTTCTTCAAATAAGTAACTGACTTTTTTATTTTAAGACAATTGTCAATAAAACAAGTGGTTCCAATTATGAGGACAGTCTTTTACTATTATTATGGATGATCTACTCCACACAGTAGCATTAAAAAAAATTAAGGAATTGAATAATTGAAGTTTATAGTATGCTCATGGGCCCAAATTGAACTATCCTTTATTTAAACGACTGATAGAAGCTAAGGTTTTTAATTTTAAGATCAATTATACTAACTTTTCTTAAGATTCACAAATTCTATAATTTCGACATGATTACATTGATATCTTTGATCTCCTTAGGTGCCGTTTGGAAAGTGGGTTGGTTTTTTGGTTTTTTGACTTTTTGACTTTTTTTACTATTTTAGCCTGGGTTAAAAAACTTGGTTTGGGAATGACTTTTTGATTTTTTGATTTTTTTTACTTTTTTTGTGAAAGAAGAGTGTAATGATTATGAATTGAATGTGATGTTTTGTTTTTTATAATTAAAATAGTCTATTTTGTCTTTTATGACTAAAATAGCCAAAAAAAGCTTGGTTTAGCTCTTCCCAAACCGTGTTAAAATGACAAGACCTAATAGAGATAGTGAGAGAACACAAAGAAAAATAAGAACAAAAAATATACATTTTCATTAAAACATAGGACACTTTTCCTTCATGTCTATGTGATTGACAAATTATTGAGTTAATTGTTATACAAATTAAAATCTTCAGAGAATTTAATAGTATAATTATATCAAGACTGAATTTACTATAAGAGAATCTAATAATATACTTATACCAAGACTATGAATTTACTGTAATTTTTTTCAAATTTTATATAAAAAAAAAAAATTGGTGTAATTTATCTATAATTTACTGTAATTTATCTCTACTTATAAGCTTGGTTTAGTACACTTATCAAACAATTTATTTCAAGTACAGGCAAAGAAAGTTTGGTATATGGCTCCAACAAACACCTTTGGATGTGCAATCTAGCTATCCGTGACTATGGTTTCGTTTTGGATGAATTTTTTAAATTATTTTAGTTTAATTAATTTTTTATTTGTCTATGATGAATTTTTAATTTTTTTATAATTAAAAAAAAAAATAAAATAATTATAATTTAAATATAATATTTTACTTTTAAAAAATTTTAACCTATTTTATCTTCTAATAGATAAATTTAGGCCAAGTTTGGCTAAACTAAAAAAGTATACTTATTTCATCTTTTTATCTTTTTTGAGTCACATCAATCAACATCTCCTCTCTACTTTTTCTATACATAATACAAAAAAAATCAAAAAATACATTTATTTAATCTTCTCAAACTTGGCCTTACTCTCAATTGGCAAATATGAATCAAGTTTGAAGGGAACCATACCCATTTATGGAAAGTTAAATTCGTGAGTTTCCTTTTATGGAAAACAATGCAAAAATTTGCTTAGACTTGCTACTGTTTGTCGTGGTTGGTTCCGTTGAAGCTTTTTAAAATTTCATTACAATCTGGGATAGTTCAGTTCAATCAGTAGTTGCCAAGAATCAATAAACAAAGTGGGAATGTTAAAATTAATGAGCCCCAAATCAATCACTGCACTCTCCACCATCAAAATGCACTTACCCTTACAAAGCAAACCAGCTAAAAACAGAGGAAGAAGAGGGTGGTTGTTTTTTGTTTTGTGAGAGAGAGAGAGAGAGAGAGAGAGAGAGAGATGGGGATGATGATGATGATGATGATGATGAAATCAGAGACGTTGACTCTGATACTGGTGAATCTGGCTGGGATCATGGAGAGAGCCGACGAGTCTCTGCTTCCTGGAGTCTACAAGGAGGTCGGCGCGGCTCTCCACACCGATCCAACTGGGCTCGGCTCACTCACTCTCTTCAGATCCGTAGTGCAGTCATTTTGCTACCCACTCGCGGCTTGCCTCGCTGTGCGTCACAACCGTGCCCATGTCATCTCCCTCGGCGCCTTCCTCTGGGCCGCCGCCACTTTCCTCGTCGCCATCTCCTCCACCTACTTTGAGGTCCCCACACTCTCTCTCTCTCTCTCTCTATACATATATACACACACATGTATTTGTACATTTCTATTAGTATGTTTTGGTAAACAAGTTTGATTTGATGAAATGAGGAATGAATGGTGCTTGAACTAGTGTTGTTGTTGTCCTTGTCACAGATTTAGGGTCATAAAATGTGGTTATGTTGGGGTTAAATTGAACATCTTCAAGATTAGATGTGTAGATCCATTGGGGGACTGTTGAGTTGGATTGGATTGGATTGGAAAACTCGGAAAATGGGTTTTTATTGGAATTTTGGGGGTTGGTTGGTTTTGGTATGGTTTTTGGTCTGGTGAAGATCTAGATGCAATCCTAACATATGCTAATGTAAACTATTTATGCAAATCAGGGAAAAAAATATGTCAAAAAGAAATGATTTCTTATTTTATGTACTGAAATTTTAAAGTAATTGTGTGTAAGCAAATACACTCATTTGAAGTTCTACTGAAACTAAACTGGCCTGTTTGATAGGTCTTATAGTTGACTTAAGAATCGAATTCTTGTATGTTAAACTAAGATTGTGTTTAGATCACGGATTTGAGTAGGGTTTGAAAATGGAAAGAAAAAGCCGAGGGAATAGAGAAAAAAATTAGCTTATGTTTCATTTACATTTCCTATATCTTTTTCCTTTCCTTTTCCAAATCCCAACCAAAAACCATAATCCAAGCACAAATGATTTAGGAACAGAAAGGAAAGGACTTCAATTTCACTTGGGTTCATGATACCTCTTGTTGATCTATGCATTATTTATTTCTCATTTGTAGTTTCAACAGAAGGGCATCTGCATATATTGTTGTTTTAGAGCCACACCAGGTCCTAATAAAAAAACTCCATTCTGGGTTGACATTCCATAGATTTTCAGGCAATGAAAAATAAAGTTTGGGGAGAGTTGAGATTTTTTATTTGTAAATTTGATGCCTTGCAATCCTTTAATTGTCAGTCTGACAGACAGAGTACTGTTTTCCTTCAAAAAATATATTTCATAATTTCATCATCTAGTGCTAAGTTATCTTAACTGGTTATTCAGGTGGCAGTGTCAAGAGGTTTGAGTGGAATAGGACTTGCCATAGTCACACCAGCCATTCAGTCCCTAGTTGCAGACTCAACTGATGAAGCCAACCGTGGTATGGCTTTTGGATGGCTACAATTAACAGGCAATGTTGGCTCAATCGTTGGTGGGCTTTGTTCAGTGTTGTTAGCATCAACATCATTCATGGGTATCCCTGGTTGGAGAATGTCCTTCCATCTGGTTGCGCTAATTAGTGTTATTATTGGTATTTTGGTCCACTTATTTGCCAATGATCCTCGCTTTTCAGATAGTCATGGTAAAACTAACGACCAAATTCCACATAAACCCTTATGGTCAGAAATGAAGGACCTGGTTAAAGAAGTGAGGTTGGTAATGAAACTTCCGTCTTTCCAAATAATTGTATTTCAAGGTATTGCTGGATCGTTTGGTGGGGCAGCCTTCTCATTTGCCCCTATGTGGTTAGAGCTTATTGGCTTCTCCCACAAGACGGTGGCATTGGTCTGGATTCTTTTCATTATTGGTTTTTCACTCGGGGGTTTGTTTGGAGGAAGGATGGGGGATATCCTTGCCCAACACTATCCAAATTCTGGGAGAATAATTCTTTCACAGATAAGCTCTGGTTCAGCCATCCCTTTATCTGCAATACTGCTGCTAGGTTTGCCTGACGATGCTTCCACAGCCTTCATGCATGGTTTGGTGTTGTTCGCCATGGGATTAAGCATATCCTGGAATGCTCCAGCTACAAACAAGTATGTCCCTTCAAACTCAAATATATTTTTTCAGCATGTTTGTAGATTAACAGAAATGGAGATAAAATGAGCTTTCTTAAATCTCTCTAAAATTGCACAACCACAATAACACTTGATTGGCATGGATCAACTGTTTTACCTTGAATCTCAAGGGAACCTTGAATAGATATTGAACTTGGTAATGTGGATTTATTTGATGATGATTATGAAGCATCACTATTTTTGGTAGAGAACTTGGTCACTTTTTTCATTATGTTTCTTTTGTTCCTCACGTTCTTTTCAAGATTTATCAAAGTAGTAGATCAAAAAAATGCCAGCTTAAGGAACTCTATGATTAAGTTACCAGAAAAGACTAATACTAATACCCTAGTGAATTACGTATTGGTACACGTTCCGAAATATGGTACACTTTCGTTCCAAAACAGTAAATTTAGTGATCCAAAACGATCTCAAAAGTTTTACTAATATATTTCCTTAAATGTTATCTTAAGAGGAAAAAAATCAAATATATGAACTAAAATCAAAGGTGAGTTAATTTTTGACAAGACAAAAACATAAAACAAAATAAAAAAAGGTTATAATTTTCATAGAAATGATTTGACACATGAAAAAAAAAAATATTGGATATCTAATAGTTGAAAGAAAATTACTCTAGAAGTACATTAAATTCTTAAGTGTAATATATACAAGTCTACTCTTATCGTACCGCATTTTAGAGTATGTGGCGTACCATGTTCCCATTTCCGTTCCATGTACCGAAACGATCCATGTTTATGATCCTATTTGTTTGTGCCAAGTGAAAACTGGATTCTCCAACATCACTGTGCTTTTAGCTGATACAAGTACTAATGGGAGGGAGAATCAAGGGCCCTTTAGTGATGCAAACCATGAAGCTACAAATCTGACATGCTAAAGAGACTCAACATTTTTAGTGCAAAGTCTCCTTGGATTTTCCGAGAAATATGAAAAAAGAACAAGATTGAAAAAATATTGCATTTTTTGCACTAAATGCCTGTATAGTCAACAGGCAGTCTGCCAGGATAGCAGATTATTCACTGCCTCAACTATGGCTAATCAATATTTCAACATGAGCATATCAAAATGAGTCTTGAGGTCTTGGAAGATATACTTGGGTAGAATGACTGGACCAGGGAGCAGTATATGGAACCAGAAGGAGAATGTGGCAAGCCTCATAATCCAAGCTGTTGTATGATGTTAGAATGTATTAGATATTTCAAATCATGAGATCAGTACTCTTTTACTTATGAGAATTTGAGATAAACAATCGCACCAGTGTTATTAAAAACAAACGGGTAAATTACAAATGCACTTTTGAGATTTGCTTAAATACGAATAGCCCCCTTTGATTTTGGAAATTACATTTCGCACCTTGAAGTTTCTAATTTCATAATAAATTGCTCATTTTATTAATAAATCATTAAGTCAATTAACAATTTTTAATAATGTTAGAAATATATTTTAATTAATAATTAAGGTAATTTTATTATTGTATAGGAGAGTAGTTGGAAATTTTATTTTTTTAGTTAATTCTGTTAAAAAAATTTTTTTGACAAGGGGGTATTTGTAATTTTTCAAATCACATTGGACAATTTGTATTTTAAGCAAACCTCGAGGTATATTTGTAATTTATCCAAAATACACAAGATGTCAACTACTTTGAGACTTTTTTTCTTTTTCTTTTTTTTTCATTCGGGTAAGTATTTTTGCTTGTGAAATTGTTAACCCGTTTTTAATTCATCAATAAGAAAAAAAACTAGCCTCCGTTTGAGAAGTGGGTTGGCTTTTTGGCTTTTTGACTTTTTCGACTATTTTAGCTTGGGGCTAAAAAGTCTGATTTGAGAAGGGCTTTTGGCTTTTTTGTTTTTTTTGACTTTTTTGTGAGAGAAAGAATGTAATGATTATAGGTTGGATGTGATATTTTGTCTTATTGGATTAAAAAACTTTTTTTGTTTTTTGTGGCTATTTTAGCCAAAATAGCCTCCAAACCAACTTCCCAAACGGAAAATGACTTGAGTATGATGACTTTCTTGGAACACTAAGTTCAGTGTTTGGGAATTTTAGAAGTCGCAATTTCATTTATGTTGTTTGGGTATCCATAGTTCTGGCAACTGTGATCTAAAAACATGGTAAGAATCTAGTGTGCCATTATTTGGAATGTAAAAAATAAAAAATCTTTGGATTCAAGTTAAAAGTGGCTCTGCCCTAGTTTACTTCATGCCATTTTCAGTTGTCTTCTAATTTTCTAAAGAATTGAAATTCAAATGTAACAGTGAAATTTTTTTTCCCCCCAAATGTGTAATAATTTGACATGAAAACATTTTTCTTCATAGATATTTTTCTAGCTGATATTAACTTGGGCCTGTTTGATAGATTGGCCTGTTGCTATTAACTGCACTGATTTAACTGTGTGAGCATGGAATATTTTAAAGCGAATGGGCCAGACCCTGTTTGTACTTATTTATTCATTCAGCTTTATCCAATATCGCATGTATTCCAAAAATGTACTCTCAGATGGTAAGAAAACTGTAAAAGCGCGATCAATTGGAACTCTTTAAGACAATTCTTCCAAAAGATCAAATTTGTGGCTTCACTCCTTGCAAATCAAAAGTTTAAAGTGAAATATGGTATATTCTAGGGTAAACATTGCCAATCTAATATTTGATTAGGCGTGAAACGGTGATTTTACTAAAGTTAATATATACATTATTGAACTATTTGTTGTTGACATATACACAGTCCAATATTTGCAGAGATAGTTCCTGAGAGATCTCGAACAACCATCTATGCTTTGGATCAATCTTTTGAGTCCATACTATCTTCATTTGCTCCCCCTTTAGTTGGGATTCTGGCTCAGCATGTTTTTGGTTACAAACCAATTCGAAAAGGCTCAACAGACTCGGAAGAAATTGAAACAGATAGAGAAAATGCTGCACCACTTGCCAAGGCACTTTATGCAGCAATTGGCGTTCCATATGTGATATGTTGCCTCATCTATTCCTTCCTCTACTGTAGTTATCCAAGAGACAGAGAGCAGGCAAGAATGCGTGCTTTAATGGAGTCAGAGATGCAACAGATAATGGTGAATCCTCCTTCACGAGAAGAAGAATACTCTCAACTTCATGTTTTAGGATCAGATGAGCTACAGGAAAGAATTGTGATTGAATTAGATTATGAAGGTGAGGAAAGCCTTGATTTTGACGAGAATGAGGAGAAGAGATTTCTTTTCCAATGAGCAGATATGGTATGTGCTTACGAGAAGGCCTTTCCAAGTTCATATAATCAAGGATTGTTTACATGTTGTTACCTTTTATTTACTCACACGATGAATTTTTAGTTAAATCCCAATCTGACTATATGAATTCTTTTTCAGGGTCCACCAATTTTGTTATTACTTTAGTTGTGTGATAAATGATTAAAATCAAGCTGTTCAGCACATTGTGAAGTTGAAGAGTGTCCTATGTTATTGGTTATGAATCCATGTTGAATTATTAATAAATAAAGTAAACTGCTCTAGTTTTGATCGAGTAACAAGACTCGAACATGGGCATTTGTATAATAGTTTTTTTTAAGTTAGCACTAGATCCAAACACCAGTACAAGTTGCAATTGTTTTGATTCTAATAATAGATCCAAACACCAGTACAATTTGAAAAAGTTTTGATTCTTTTTTCTTTTCTTTTCCCTTTGGCTGATGAATGTAGGCCTCAATCATTGAGCAACCATAATTAGAATATTTGTAACAACTATTGAATTTAATTTCAACTTTGACAATAAACATATCAGCAGAGTGGTGCTACAGGCATTGATTTGGATGAAAAAATTTTCGTGCATAGAAAGTATTGGATGCAGAATACATAGATGTGATGTGAGACAAATATTCACAATTATAGATGTAAACATTTTGGGCTCGATAAGTGTCTCATTCTATGAAATTCTTATCGTGCGTGTTTGTAGACACCCCATTTTTGACCGACCTTAAGACTTAGACGTCGCCAGTTGAGCGCTCGGTGATACTATATATTATGCTCGTTTAGAAGTCTCAGAGTCGCGGCCGTGAGTCCTGCCTCCGGATTTCCAAACCCTCTTCTGTGCCTTGCCTCGGTTTGCGAACCAGACTCGGTTTTCTCTGTTTCTTTTCCTGAGGGGAGGGAGAGGTCTCGTAGACCATCTCTCAGTGGCCGTGGGTTACGTTTTGTGGCTGTAGGCCATTTTGCCCATTTCGGAGCCCGATTCTCGGTTTTCGGAGCCGTCAGGCCGTGTGCCTCGGTTCAAGACCGCTTAACTATCTCCTATCACTCCGGTTTTTGGCGTACTTCCTATTTACTCCCTTTTGAGGGACACTGAGGTCTGAGAGACCCACTTCGTGGCCGAATGCCACTTTCGGTGCTTAACAGGTAATTTTCGGGGCCCCGAACTGCGCGTTTTGGCCCCCGAACATTCGTTTTGCATCGGTTTTCCTTCATTTTTGGCAGGTACCTCTGTTTCATCACTAGGAAGGCCGTAGAAGGGTGGGAGGCCAGCAATTGTTTCAACAACCAGTTATATATCCTCTGGCGCCCTCCGACGCCCGTTTTTCTTGCTTCCAAGCCAATGTTGAACACCCTTGGGCCATTTTCTTGAACTTTTAACCACATATTTGTGATGTACACACATGGGAGGACCCTAAAAGTTGGTGGCCGGCCACTAATGTTGCTTGACCCTTTTGAACCCCTCCTAAAATTGGCCTATTCTCTCTCCTGTTTTACAGTTGACAATTTTGAACCACAGGGTTGTGTTGAGGAAACCTGGGAGGACAGCATTATGTGGTGGCCGGCCATTAATTCAACTTGGCCCTTTTGACCCTTGGCCGGCCGGCCATGGGAGGTGGCCGGCCGGCCACCTGCAGCTCCAATAAGTGGCCAGCCATGATCCTTGCAACATATACATTACAGCTATGCACTTTTTTCCCTCCAAAAATCTCTATCCGGGGGGACCTTTTTTGGGGGGAAACTTGGCTTGTTTTCCCCCCATTTCTTTCCCTCCTTTTCCCCCCTTTTTGGTCCATATACTTGGCTGGCCAGGTCTGTCATAAGGGTTAGAAAAATTCCCTTCAAGCCCTTGGCATGATATCTCTCTCCCTCTCCATCTCCAAGCTTCCATTCTTCAAACCCTACACCATTTTACACTACACCACCAAGCCCTACCCTTCCATCCTCCACTCCAACAGTTTGAGGGTGTTCTCCAGAGCTTAGAGGTGCTGTAAACTCAAGCCAAGAGTTGCTAAAGACTTGTCTTCAAGGGTAAGTACCAATTCCCTCTTTTTGAGCCTAATTTTGCAACATTTTTTTAGCTATTTTGCTTGTTGTTTTGAGCTCCGACCAAAACTGAAAGTACCCTTTATTTGAGCTCCATTTCATGTTTCATTAAGGGAATTTTGGCATTTGAGGTCCCTATCTTGCACTTGCTTCATTATCTTTCTCATATACCGTTATCTTGCATAGTATTTTTAGCCTATGTGTGATCTGTTTTGGAGCATGATATAAACTGTAAATGAGCTTATTTTGAGCCCCTCTTCAACATTGAAGAAGGGCTCATTACTGTTTGGAACCTCCATGTGCCACTTGTCATTATATCCCTCTTAGGTCCCCATTTTTGCATGATCTATTAGCCTATTATGCTTCTGTTTTTGGTCATTTTACAGAACTAAAAACAGTCTTATTTTGACCCCATATTCATGTTTCATTAAGGGTCTTTGGCTGTTTGATGAATGTTTTGTATACTTTGTGTTTTGACCTCTTTTGGGCCTTATCTTGCATGGCATTTTGAGCATACTTGTGTACTGATTTGGGCTTGGCCATTAACTGTAAAATATCATATTTTTGGCCCTTCTTCAATATTGTAGAAGGCCCCTAATCTGTTTGGGGTCGGCAGCTGTGAGTTGCTTCTTTACCTCATGTTTAGGGCCATTTTTGCATACTAGTTTTGCCATATTTGTGCTTACTATTTGGCCATGTTTTGAACTGTAAAAGTGCTTGTCTAGGGGCTGCCTTGCTTTTGTCTTTTCATCTCATGTACAAATTATGCATGCATTGCATAGCTATAGGCCATTTCATGCGCCAAAATTCATGTTTCGGGACTCGTTTCATGCATCGGGTGTCATTTCGCCTTGTTCGGGGCTGTTTTCCCCCCTCATTTTGCTACTGATTTTTGCATGTTTGCATATCATATTACATGTCTTTGCCATGTCTCATTAGAGTGACATTTCAGTGCCTGAGGGTCGGTCCTCGGTTTGCGTGCACGCGTGCACGCATTTCGAGTTGTCTTGTTTTCATCTGATGGCCTCCTATGTGAGTGTGGCTGAGGCTCTCTCATGTTGGTGTAAGCCCATTATTGCATTGCGTATGCCATTTCATCCATAGCATTGTGTATGCTCGGTTGTATATTAATCTCATGACTTGAAGCAAATATCTACAATCACCTGAAGCAAGCAAGTCCTTCCATCAATCAGAAGGCGAGTTCTGGCAGCTTCTTCCTCTGCATATATAACATGACTGTTTCCATCCAACTGTGACAAATTGAAGTGACCAATTAAAATTATGTTATGCACTTATATTGAGATATACAATGCTGAATAAAAGCCAATTCATGATAGTTTAGGTATAAGACCATAACTATAGTGCAACATTAAATTGTGAATCTACAAATTTCAGCAGAGTCAGACATCAGAGAATACTGAAGAAAATGGCAGAGACAATAGATGCTTGCCTGCATCAATAAACCTCCATCACGTAGAGTATGTATCTCTGCCTCGATCTCTGACTGATTTATCTTCAATCTGTAGCTTCCTGCATGTTTGCATCATTCATCTGTTTTGCATGCACCGGGCTCGGCGCATCATACTAACTGCATTGTATTTTCAATTCCAAGTTGAATACATGTTAGTTGTAGCATTCCATATGCCATGTTTAGAATAGCCGAGCTTGCTATAGTTTGCATGTTGAGCGCTCGGTGATACTATATATTATGCTCGTTAGAAGTCTCAGAGTCCGGCCGTGAGTCCTGCCTCCGGATTTCAAACCCTCTTCTGTGCCTTGCCTCGGTTTGCGAACCAGACTCGTTTTCTCTGTTTTCTTTTCCTGAGGGGGGAGAGGTCTCGTAGACCATCTCTCAGTGGCCGTGGGTTACGTTTTTGTGGCTGTAGGCCATTTTGCCCATTTCGGAGCCCGATTCTCGGTTTTCGGAGCCGTCAGGCCGTGTGCCTCGGTTCAAGACCGCTTAACTATCTCCTATCACTCCGGTTTTTGCGTACTTCCTATTTACTCCCTTTTGAGGGACACTGAGGTCTGAGAGACCCACTTCGTGGCCGAATGCCACTTTCGGTGCTTAAACAGGTAATTTTCGGGGCCCGGAACTGCGCGTTTTGGCCCCCGAACATTCGTTTTGCATCGGTTTTCCTTCATTTTTGGCAGGTACCTCTGTTTCATCACTAGGAAGGCCGTGAGAAGGTGGGAGGCCAGCAATTGTTTCAACAACCAGTTATATATCCTCTGGCGCCCTCCGACGCCCGTTTTTTCTTGCTCCAAGCCAATGTTGAACACCCTTGGGCCATTTTCTTGAACTTTTAACCACATATTTGTGATGTACACACATGGGAGGACCCTAAAAGTTGGTGGCCGGCCACTAATGTTGCTTGACCCTTTTTGAACCCCTCCTAAAATTGGCCTATTCTCTCTCCTGTTTTACAGTTGACAATTTGAACCACAGGGTTGTGTTGAGGAAACCTGGGAGGCCAGCATTATGTGGTGGCCGGCCATTAATTCAACTTGGCCCTTTTGACCCTTGGCCGGCCGCCATGGAGGTGGCCGCCGGCCACCTGCAGCTCCAATAAGTGGCCAGCCATGATCCTTGCAACATATACATTACAGCTATGCACTTTTTTCCCTCCAAAAATCTCTATCCGGGGGGACCTTTTTTGGGGGAAACTTGGCTTGTTTTCCCCCCATTTCTTTCCCTCCTTTTCCCCCTTTTTGGTCCATATACTTGGCTGGCCAGGTCTGTCATAAGGGTTAGAAAAATTCCTTCAGCCCTTGGCATGATATCTCTCTCCCTCTCCATCTCCAAGCTTCCATTCTTCAAACCCTACACCATTTTACACTACACCACCAAGCCCTACCCTTCCATCCTCCACTCCAACAGTTTGAGGGTGTTCTCCAGAGCTTAGAGGTGCTGTAAACTCAAGCCAAGAGTTGCTAAAGACTTGTCTTCAAGTAAGTACCAATTCCTCTTTTTGAGCCTAATTTTGCAACATTTTTTTAGCTATTTTGCTTGTTGTTTTGAGCTCCGACCAAAAATGAAAGTACCCTTTATTTGAGCTCCATTTCATGTTTCATTAAGGGAATTTTGGCATTTGAGGTCCCTATCTTGAACTTGCTTCATTATCTTTCTCATATACCGTTATCTTGCATAGTATTTTTAGCCTATGTGTGATCTGTTTTGGAGCATGATATAAACTGTAAATGAGCTTATTTTGAGCCCTCTTCAACATTGAAGAAGGGCTCATTACTGTTTGGAACCTCCATGTG